AAAAGTGGAGATAAATTTCTACATCAGGTCACCTGAGACCTGTAAGAGCATATTCTACATCAAATTAGCTGCTTCCTTCCGTAGCAGCCACCACAGAAAAGTCTCCTGGTCTGTACGTGCCCCGTGTTGTAGCTTGGACACAGGAAGGTAGATCACAGAGGCAAAGCACTCCTTGTGGACACCACTCATCTGCTGCCATCAAGCTGCTGAGGTACTGAACTGTTCTGGCAGCACCTGTATTGGGACAGCCATTCGTTGGATCCATTGAGAAAAAGCGCTGACGTCAACTGGACTTGGCTGAAAATTTAGGGTGGATTTAGTACAACAGGAAAGCAAGTTTAGTCATCCAGGCTTGAAAACTGTATTCTGATCATCTTGTCATCTAGTGCTCCCCACCAGTACTGTTTACCTTACCAACAACAACCATGGACTTTAGGTAGGTTGAATAAAAACCTAACTTGCCTAACAAATCTAATAAATCAGGCGTGTCTTTTAAAACGCTACAGTTATTGCAGTCTCAGCTGGTAATTCCATTATCAGATCCTTTGGAACATAGAAATACCTCGTTTCCTTGCACCGCAAAGCACTGTAAGATTTTTCCAATCCAGTCACATATGTCAACAAAAAGCTCTTCAGTCAGAAACAGAGGACAAGTGTAACCTGCTCACAGTTTGTGGCCCTGCAGTGAAGCAGGATGGCTGCTGTGTAAACAAATACGTAAACGTACATTTTACAGTATTCCCAAACATGGCAGCTCTTCCATTGCTTACCTGTCCCCACGCATAGAGGTTATTGTGGGTCTGAGAAGGGTTCACTTTAGACAAGAGGAACCGGGCCTGTTAAGACAAGACAACAGAGCAGCAGTTATGTAAAATGACAGACCTGTCAGCTCCCTCAAGACTCCTTACCGCCTTAGATACATGACTAGTGATGTTCCTCTGGTTTTGCAAGCAAGGTGCTAATTTAACTCTCACAGGTTTCAAGTCCAGAAACAGTCCTGCTCCACAAACAACTCGATTCCAAGAGGCAAAGAATGCTCTGCTACGGCAAGCAGTGCTCGCCTGGCAGGGCAGCTCCTGTTCCATGCGACACAGGCATGTCACCAGCGCTGTCCCTCATGTGCCCCCATCCACTCTGCAGAAAAGAGGTCACTGGAGGACCAGCACAATATGGTCACCTCAAAAACTAATACTGAATCTTTGGTTTGGAGCATCAGTTCCTGCCTCTTCACTGCTACAAACAAGCACCACACAACTGTGGTTCCAGGAAGAGCAAAAATAGGAACTATTTTATATCCTCATTTGGCAATAGAGAATAAAGGAACAGATGGTCAATCATTCAGCATAACTTACTGTTCTAGCAAGCCAGCTGCACTGCCTGTCTTGGCTAAACGTAGATACACAACCAAATAATTTCCTTCCCACCTCTTTGGAGAGTAAAAAGATATTTAAGCTGGCTTTTTTGTTTTTTTCCATCCTCAGATTTCAAAAGCATATTCAGCAAGTCATTGGCTTATTAAAAGACAAAGTTGTAGTAAAAGCTCATGAGAAAACATGCAAGCTCTGTACTTTGAGGAGCTAAATTACCACTGTATTTAACTGTCAGAAACATCCTCTCAGTAAAGCAAAAAGACAGCTCTTTGCTCTGTTCAACAACAGAAAGAGTTCCTCGATAAACCTCCTTACCTGACTGCCCCCATGTTCCGTGTGGATGTAACGCGGCATTGGGAATCTAGTCTGCAAGATTTCCTGGGCGTCATCCAGTGGGGCCTGCAGCAGGTGCTTGAAGTTTTCGTATTCGGGCATGTCTTGGTAACCAGCTTTCTGCCACTGGGCAATAGTCTATTGACAAGACAGGGGGAAATGGAAAAATAGTAAACATCATAGAATGGTTCGGGTTGGAAGGGACCTCAAAGATCATCTAGTTCCAACCCCCCTGCCATGGGCAGGGACACCCTCCACTACACCAGGTTGCCCAAAGCCTCATCCAGCCTGGCCTTGAACACTTCCAGGGATGGGGCATCTACAACTTCTCTGGGCAACCTGTTCCAGTACCTCACCACCCTCTGAGTGAAAAATTTCTTCCTTGTATCTAATCTAAATGTCTGCACACCTCCCTTTCTTAACTGCACAACTGAAGGCAGCAGAACATGACAGGTACTTCTGCTTACAGAGCACAGGGCAAACACACACTTTCGTTACTCTGGCAAAAACATTACTTAGTTTCTGTCCCTGAATTTAAGAACAGACACTCACCACAAAACCTGGTAGCAGTTTGTGCAAAGCAAGAGTGATTCATTGACAGTGATCTTCCAGCCTTTACGTTTCAGCTTGCGCCAACACAGGAACACAAAGCATTTATAAATCACTGGCATTCTGAATCTTAAACGAAGCACCCATGGCCTTACAGTATTTTCAAGGTACACAACAACGTGTACCTAACAACTGCGCTGTACATGCGCAGATCACACACTTAGCTCGTCCTTTGTCGAAATTTCACCCAGTTGCTGAGTGTCTTGCTCTGCAACAGCAGGTAGAAACCGTTTAAGGTAACTGGAAGGTTTATTGTCATTGTTGACTCAAGCATTCAACTCCTGTTCAGTCCTGTCAATCAGATATCCCTGCTCGCTTCTCAAAAGGAACAAATACATTATATATATGTATTTGTATACACATATATATAGGGAAGTCAGGAGCTAACATGGAGCTGCCACAAACTATCATGCCAAACTTAGAGAGTTCTAATAGCAGGCATTAAATGAAGTAGCTTAGTTCAAACACAAAGGGAAGAGTTAAAATGCCTCCCAAAAAGTTTACACTAATAGCAATGTTTGACCACAAACCAAGACGGGTTTATTTAAACTACTCCCATCTGACGCCATGTTTAGGTAGAAGAAACTGGATGAGGGCCACTCCCCAAGCAGGACTACGAAGAATATAAGGGGGAAAAAAGGCATCAAAGAACAGGGAGATTTCCAGAGGAAGAAACGGAAAGCCAGCTTCCTCTTCATCCCTTGCCCCATAACTACTTCAGGGTGAGACATTTCCATTCTACGCTCCCTTACAAAACCTGACAGGACTGAAACACAGATCTACAGGCCTGCATACTGAAGAGGCACTGGAAAGCCAAGGCTTTGCATATTGCTATAAATCTGGATGTTCAGAAGGGGCCAGTACCTAGACACCTCAGTCACGATGGAAGGAATATAAGAGCAACTGTCAAAAATGTCCAATATTTAAAAGCAAAAACTGGAAAAAGTCGCAACTAATTTCTTCAAGGGCAGCAGTATTTAAGCTTCAAAACCCAGCAACCAAGTACATCGTGTGTCTGAAACAAACTGCAGCTCTCTGTCCTGCTTAGTTTGAAGTTTCTCTGTCCTTTTCCAGGCATGGTAAGGGACCATCCTCATCACTAAACTAACATGACAGCTATTCCTCAGGGCAGAATACACCCTCAGCGGCTCCAGCAGGATTTTTGTGTTAAGTCAGGTTGTGTGGTAATTGTATTACAGCTGGCAGCACGTACACGATGTCATTACACTAGTGTGGGCTTTGCCAGCAGCATTTTTTATACTAACAGTGACACTGCATGCAAGGCAGAAGGGAGGGAGCGCCAACAGAGAATGAGAACATATTTCACTGTACCTCACCAAGGTAGATCACTATCTGGAAGAAAGTATCCATCAGAAGGATTCTGTCAGGAAGAATACTGCTGCTGTCCAAAAGCACTGGCTGGGGAAAATGAAGGAGAAAGTCAGTCACCACTAAGCCCTTGGAACCATATTAACCTCCAGGGTTGGCTGAGCAGCTTGCTCAGCCCTGCCTGTACAGCAGCTCCCCCAACAGCTGCTCAGTCCGCGTGAACACTCCGCAGGGCGCAGTCGGCCTCCTGCAGCATCGCTGAACGGAGCAGCAGCTCATCAGCTACTGGATGAAGCGCAGGATGCAAGACAGCGGTTTCTATGGCCATCCCAGTTTAATTTGAAATGATCTTGGAACAAAAGCAAGAATAATACGGAATCACACTTGAAACATCGCAAATGCTGCCAAGACGGTTTCGAAGTGTTACTCCAGCAGCTCCTGAGTTTCCTTCCTGCCAGACACTCCTCTCAAGGAAGCTGTCAGTGTAACGGAATCCATGTCTGTCCACTGAATACTTGGACACAGCTAAACACTGCTGCATTAACAACTGAAATTAACAACAAGCAGTTGGTGGAAGATTATGATCTGGAAGGGCTGAGGCTCATGGAGATGGCAGCCTCTGGCAGAGAAGCAGAAGCGATACTGACAACCGCAACAGTCACTGGATGTGGGGGGTGGGGCCTGTGGCTTGTCGGTTTTTAGGTAAGCTTACTGAAAACACAATTTGTATTTTACATTGCCCCATCTCATCCTTTAATAATTACCTTGATTAAAAAAAAATACACAGAGGCCTTTTTGCTGAAATAGTGTTACTCTGGCTAAACGCTCATTATTTTGGATTGATCCACTTCTTCCTGTTCAACAGGGACTCACCTCAGGAGGTCCATGGAAAGAATAAGCATAAAGGATGGGCTGAATCATAATGAGAGACTGGGTCAGATCTTGCCTAGCAAAGTGGTGACGGTAATAAGAAGATTCATCTGGGCTGTTATTGAAGACCTGCAGGAATGGGGAGCGTCGCAGATGGAACATGAACTGCACCAGAAAGATGAGTGAGAAGAGAAATGTGAGCAAATTGCCAAAACTTCTACACTCAAGTCCAATCTTTATGAACAGCAAATTCTTTGGAAAAAGTCTGCCCCTCATTAACTCCTCAGAGTTCTTCCCTTATCAGTCATTCATTTCAGCACTGAACTATAGGACCATCAAATTAAAGAAGCATCTGTTCCTCCCCTCTTGATCAATGGCACAAGATGTTTTATCATCACTCTCACTCATCCTTGGGCACTTTTCCCACACCTGTGGGAAGTGAAGTTCTTACCTGGGGATACAAAGAAAACGATTCTGACAATCTGAAGGAGTTGGGATCGTCTTTGTTGTATTGTCCAAATTTCTGACACTGTTGGAAGCAAAATGGATACTTTGGTTATCTCTTTTTTTCTTTTTTTTATTTTTTTTTTTTTTCAGAATTAACACTTTTTTTTTTCAGAAGGGTGTTCTTTCAGTTATTTTTGAACGGAGCAACCAAGGCATGAAAATGACAATAACAAGTATTATAAAATTTATTTTTCTTTAAGCCACTGGTTTCTGTATCTTACAAGAATGAGAATGATGACTTGATCTATTTATCTATTTTTATATATACATCATCTAGATTTGAAATTGTCTAAAAATGAAAGAAATAGTGCTTCTAGTACTACCAATTTTTGTTTCCATTAAATCAGGAACACTATGTTATACCTAAGCTGCTTTGTATGCTATGAAACACCTCTGCAGCAACTCTACTTCCTTCTAGAGCACCAGCAGACTGGCATTTCACCAACTGCTTCATTGAAAATAAGCAGCATTGATGGTTTTAGCAATTTAACTGTAAATGACTCCACAATCATCTCAGCATGCAGCATGTCCACATGTGTTTTGATGCTCAAATCTTTATTTGATACTGGCCCTGCTTTTTCAGTGTCTGATGTGCCTGGTCTGTTAGTATCAACTGCACATGGGTGTTTGGTCAAAGCCAGAACCAATTTAGGCAATTCAAGCTTGTGAAATTCAAAGCAAAAGACAGTGTGAAGTTGCAGAAGTGATTACAACTCTGAACTTGGCACCAGTAAGCCCACATCTGAATGCTGTGTCCAATTTGGGGTTTCCCAGTGCAAGACAGACATGGATATACTGGATTGAGTTTAGCAAAGGCTACCAAGCTGGAGGACCTCATGTAGAAAGAGAACCTGAAGAAGTTGGTTTTGTTCAGCCTGGTGAAGAGTGGGATCAGGGAGTCAATATTGCTGTCTATAGCTACCTGACAGGTAGCTGGAGAAATGGAAATTCTGATGGTGGGACAGGCGGGAGAGAAAAGGAAAAAAAAAAAAAAAAATCACAGTAACTGCGATCAAACATTGGAACAGGTTGTCAAGAAAAGCAAGAGAAAATCGCCAGAACTCATCTGAACGAGACCTGGTGCAACGTGCTCTAACTTCAAAGCTGGCCCTACTCTGAGCAGGGGAGTTGAACCAGAGACCTCCACGAGTCCCTTCCCACCGGCATTACTGTGTTTCACTATCACTTCTTCAGTCTCAGGTTTAACCCCTTCAGTGTGATGGCATGTTTACCTACGCTGATCATACTGACTTCTGAGCTATGGCTTACTCCAACTATGTGACCGTCATGACAGCACAAATGAAGCAAGTCAATCTGGAAAAAGAATGGTGTTTTCATTTCCAGAGATCGTTTTTACTAAAATCAAGAATGCACCCAACTGCAGTCTGTTGGTCTTACCAGTCTGATCAGCTGTCTGTCCAGCCATCGCAGAACATCAGGTCCCTCCTCAGATTCAGCTCTGTACACTCCCAGTCGTGCCATCAGCACAGCAGCTGCTTCCTGGTCAAACGCAGCTTCTATATGCTGGAGTTGACTCTGTGCATCTGCCCAGCTATAGGGTTAGTAAAGGGTTAGTGCTGCATGCATCTACCTTTGGCAAAACCCAAACCAGAGTCATCCTCGCTGTGCCAAATGCTCTGCAACCAATGCACGCAACAAAAAGCTAGAAAAATTCCAGCACAGACCATGGCTTAAGTTTCTGCCATTCTGTCAAAGAGCAGGCACAAGATACTCACTTTCTGGCGACGGTGGTTACACGAATGCGTTTCTGAGTACTGGAGTGTTGATACTGAGTGACAAACTGCACTGCCCCTCTGCCTCCCTGAGGTATCGGTGCGTTGTGCTGCAAATGAAACGAGAGAAGCCTTCAAAACGAGCTGGCTTTTCCATAACACTGTACACTACAGAGAACTCCAGGGCATCATTTGAGTTAGAATAAGTACAAGCTAGAGATGGACTAGAGAAGAGAGACACATCTGTTGGTGGTGTGTTTTCCAGCAGCCCTCAGAGTTAAGTGGTGTTGGGCCCATTCGATATTGTGCCTGACACTTTATCAGCTTGCACCTTAAAGGACAACTGCAACTTTCCATCTCTTTAGCAGTGAACGTAAGAATGGCAGTACAAGGTCTGAGCAAAGGTCCTGTGAGTCCACCATCCTACTCCCAACAGTAACGAGCCCACACAGCAGAGGAGACAGAGAGATATATGTGGAATATAATTCCTTTGGGGTGGCCTTCCTAGCTTCTAGCTGCTACACGCTTAGAAACCTCCCCAGCCAAAAGTTGCTTCTGAGACATCAATTTATTACAACTGAGAGGACCAACTCTCTAAGAATTTGAATGTATTTATACTTTTATTCTCCACAGCACCTCCTGGCAAAAAGACAATTTCTTCTTTGTTAAATAAATACCACAGGAAGAAGACAAGGAAAGAATGCAGGTTTGGTACAGAACAAAAATATTAGGCAATTTATGCATATGAAAACAACCTCTGAGACGATTTCTTTGGCAGAAAACACTTGGTTGCTTTGCAACCATCCATCTGCAACACAGGGGATGTCATTGCATTTCCTGGCCCTGTTACAAATAAATACTTCAGTGTGTAAAAAAGATGACGCACACACAAAATAATAATAATAAAAAAAAAAGAGAAACCAAGACTGACCTGATTTACCACTTCGAAGTAAATGGCCAGAGTTGTGCTGGGATCCAGAGTACAAATTTTCCATTGAGATGTTCCTCCAATTCCAAGCTCCTGCATAGAATTGAAAAGAAAGCAGCATTTTTATCCCAAGCAGCACGTACGGCAAGCAGTAGAAGTTACAGCAAGCCTTCTAGATTTGGGTGTGAATGAAGTTACTGAAGGACATACAGTTAAAGACAGCCTTTCAGGGCAAGAATTTAGTCTAGGAAAGACTATCTTTTCCTAGGGTTGTTTCCAAATTTTTCTTCTCCTTGAAAACCCTGACTTACCAGCTGAGCTGTGCATCTAGACTGAAACTTTGCACTGTTTATTTACTTCTTTAATAAAGATTTTTCCACATCAGAAACTTACATTTTCAGAGACACATGGCCCTTTAGCATTCAAGGATATGCATGGTCCAATAGCTCCTGCAATTTTCAGCTCCCTAGATGTCTAGGACAAGGTAAAAAAACGTTGGTTTTTGTTTGGTTTTTTTTTTTAATCAAGTCAGTCAAATAGAATACACACAGACTAAATCAGCTTCAATCAGATGATACATACACATGGCTGTCAGGGAAAGTATATCTGAGTACTCTCCCAGAACACCTACTGCTACAATTAGTTAATGTAAAAGAATCTACACAGTCACATTTTAATAATGAAGACATATTTATAGTGACGAGAGAGTATGAAATGTTCTTTGCTGAGTGTGGAGAGCCTGAGCTCAGCTGCCTTTAAAAAAAAAAACCACAAAACAAAACAAACAACATAAACGTAATAAGCTTTTAAACAAAAATCCCTCCACTCACTCCAGTGTGGTGCTTCTCTCAAAACAGGCACTACAGTTGACCTCAAACATGCAGAATTTTCTACACTCCAAATGATTAATCAACTTTTGAATGAACAGCACATGTATTTCCCAGTTAATGTTATCCAATAAAGCTAATCTCTCACCTTCACATCCAAACTTGCACCAAAAGCCATCCGAAATTCCCCGTTGAACCCTTTGTTAAATACCCGCTGGAAGGTCTGCTTGAAGAGAGAAGTGTTGAAGGAGTCTCCCATCACCATGTGTCCTCTGGGAAAGAAAAAACAATACACAAGGAAACTGAAGCAACTGGGAACGAGAAGTAAAGCAAAAAGGGTACATTCTTCCAACTCATGCATGCAAACACATGCAGAAACTGTTTTAAAGCAGCCTTTGCATAGGAAGAATTCACATCAGGGAATGCAGATTTATGGAAAAACTCAAACACAAAAGGGTCACCTACCGATGGTGGAAGCAAGGACAAGTAGCCTGGGAAGAATACAGAGAAATTGTCTAAGGTTAGGGAAGCTAAAGCCCTGATAGAATTAAGTCTGGCCAGGGACACCAAGGGCAACAAGAAA